CTAAATGTAAGGGGAAAATGGTTAGGTCGACAGAGGCTCCTGCGTGGGCCAGATTGCAGGCTAGAACTGAATATACGGTTTCACTGGTACCAGAACCAGCTTCTACTATTGGTGATATGAGTAGGAGTAAGAATGATGGGGGAAGTAGTCAAAAGTTTATATGATTTATTTGGGGAAATGTTACGTCAGGTGTCCGAATTATTAGTGGCCCAAGTCAGTTTTCAAACCTTGCAATCATAATAGGTACAACTATAAAGAAAATTATTACAAGGGCAGGGACTGTTATGACTACCTTACAGATTTGGGCATCTCCAAGTAGCGCTCCAGTTTAGCATAGCTCAGCCTGGATTAATATACTTAAGGTGCTGCCTGCTACTCCTGCTCAAGCACCAAATAGTAAATATAAAATGCCGATATCTTTGTGATTTGTTGAAAATAATCAGCAGTGTATGAACAGAGGTAAAATGACTGAGCTAGCATTCGACTGTAGATCTAAAGACAGAGATTGAGCCCTCTTTCTCGCAAACCCTGTGCTGAATCAACAAATTGAATTGTAATTTCAGAGAAGCAGCTTCAATTCTGCTGGTGATTTTCCTGCCTTTTTTTTTCTTTTTTTCTTTGTCGAATGAAGGAGAAGTAGACTGAAGCCAGTTGACTAGAGGATTTGCCTGTTAACTAAATTTTCCTGGGGTTAAATCTCATCAATCTTGTAAAGATTTGGTTTAATTATAATGTTTGCTTTACATTCAATTGGTGTAGGATAAAGTCTTGCAATCCTTATTTTTAGGAATTAAGTAAATTTTACGTGTTTAGGGTTCTGAAAGCTCTTGGTCTGAACTAACCTAAATTCCTAGTCCAGCCCCGATAGAATGGGTGTTATGTGTAGTAATCATGTGGATATTATGATTGGTAATGATAGGAAGGCTATTTCTTTGTATGTTCAAACTGTTTTATTTTTGTGTTGTTTAATGAAGGGAACATAGTTAGTGATGTGGAGTATGTTAGCTGCAAGCAGAAATATATGTTGAGGACTGCTATGATGGCTATTAGTGTTGGTAGAATGATGTTATCATTTTTGTTATCTCTTGGATAATTACTCATTTGGGTAAAAACCCTGATAGTGATGGGCGATGTCCTAACGATACTATAATGGTGAGGAAACAAATTGTGATGGGAGGTGTTTTATCTCATGTGTGTGATAACGATACTCTTGGAGTACATGATCTGGGCATGAATAATAAGAAGAGAGTGTTGTTATGATATAAATTACTATGTTTAGGATTGTTATAATTGGAATATACTTTATAATAGCTGTCATTCATCCTATATGGGCAATGGGTGAGGAGGGTGTAATTTTTTCCAGGTGAGTATGGCTAAGTCTGCCTCAGCCTCCAGCTATGATTTATGATATCACTATGATTCATAGTATATTTAGCTTGATGGATGGTGACATGTGGGATAAAACTGATAGGGGTGCACTTTTGTCATGTTAATAGCATCAGGTCTGCTGTTCATGGGATGCCTTGTGTGAATTCAGGCACTCAGAATTGAAATGGGGAAAGTCCTACTTTTGTGACAAGGGCGATTGTCATGAGGGTGGATGCTGCTGGATTAAAGATTTTTGTTATTCTTTGTGTTCTTTGACCAGAGTATATTAGATTAATGATAATAGCCGTTGTAAGTAGTATTGATGTGGTGGATTGTTTTAGGAAATATTTGTTGGATGCTTCTGTAGCTTATGGGTTCATGTTTTTATTAGAATGGGGATACCGTTAACCAGTGTGAGCTTGTTATACAATTATATTTCCTGAGAAAATGGTCAGTAGAATGAGAGTAAAAACAATAAGAGTTTATTAGTACAGAAAGGATATACGACAACATTTTGGGGGTATGGGCCTGAAGCTTACTTAGAGAACCTTACTATATAGCATGTGGTGTAATGTGGTAGCATGGGGAATGTAAAATTCTCAGGAAGAATTCAATTCCAGGAATAAGAGCATTGAAACCTCTATGATTTACTCTATCAAAGTAACTCTTTTGTCAGACATATTTCTTAATTTTGTGGTGGGTTGTCTGGTATGATGACAGGTAGTGAAAACTCTCATATACATAGGGCTAATGTTAGTAGTAAAACAACTTTTTATAAGAGATGTATACGTTGATCATATCAAAATTGTGGGTAGGATGCTCAAATTCATAGAAAGGAGATTGTTAGATGTGTTTTAATGATGACTTGGGCTGTATATAATTCTGGCACCTAGGGATTGTCGAATGGTCCTAAAAATAGATTGCTGTGGAAATGTTTATTATAAGGAAATTGGCATATTCTCTAGGAAGGACAGGGTGAATAGGCCTGCTACATTTTCTACATTGGAGACATATACAGGTTTTGATTCTACTTCTGTTAAATCAAGTGGGGCTTCATTGGATTTCTGCTACTGCGGAGATAATCAAATTCTGGTAGGGGTCAGGAGAAAATTAGTCATAAGTGTTCTTGTGTAATAATTACTGTTGAAAGTGTAAATGATCCATTTATCAGTAAGACCGAGAATGGAATAACTGCTACATTACTTCATATGAGATTGTCTGTGCTCCTGCCCTAGAGCTCCAGTGAGTGAGTATTTTGAATGTGAAGCTCATCCAGATTTGAGGATGGAATAAATGGCTAGGTGTGATATGGCTAACATAAATAATATGCCTACATTTATACTAATTAGCGGATAAGACATGGGAAGAGGAATTCATGTTGTGAGAGCCAGGGTTAAGGTTAGCATTGGGGCAATAATATATAAATTGATGGTGTTGATGGACATAGTGGTTCTTTAATAAGTAATTTGAATGCCTCAGCAATGGGTTGTAATAATCCATGGGGGCTGATAATTTTTGGCCCTATCTGGATTTGCGTATAGCCTAGGATTTTCCATTTAGTTAATATGAGGAATGCTATGGTGAATTAAACTGGGTAATTTGTGAAAGAATGTTGATTATAAACATATTCTTCGGAAGAGGACTTGAACCAGTTCAGATAAAGTTTTCAGTTTTACATAATTACCAGGCTCTGCCACTGTAACAAACCCTGTTCCAAAGTAGGGTATGTATAAATTAATTGAATGTAGATTATATCATCATTTAGTTTGAAGACATTTTGTAAAGTAAGCAGTATTGCTCTTGTCCTTTCATACTGGAAGAAATCTGCAGTAGACAGAAACCAACCAGGATGACTCCAGTCTGAACTCAGGTCATGTGAGACTTTAATCGTTGAACAGACAATTAATAGCAGTTATACCATTGAAATGTCATGATCCAGCATCAAGGTCATAAACCATATTGCCGATATGAACTCTAGAATACAATTACCCTGTTATCCCTAGTAAAACTTGTTCCATTGATCAGTGTTTTAGAAGAACAGGTGATAAAGCATTTTGACTAGCTGGTCTAAATTTTAATCACTCAGAGGTGATTTTGTTCTCCAAAAAATAAATGGTGCACGGGCTCAAGGTGCACCAGCTTCAGTAGATGTGGTGCACAGGCTCAGTAGTTGTGGCCCACTGGCTTAGTTGCTCCGTGGCATGTGGGATCTTCCCGGACCAGGGATCGAACCCGTGTCCCCTGCATTGGCAGGCGAATTCTTAACCACTGCATCACCAGGGAAGTCCCAGAATCGCAGTCTCTCTTTTAATATACCTTAAGCCCAAAGAATCCGTGGAAAATTGTTACAGAAAATAAGACAATAAAATATTGTAAGGACTATAACAGAAGCATATAGTACACACTTCATATAGACACATCCCAAGCAGTTACAAAGTATGTTAAAAGGGAGGTTGCAATTTTAAAAGAATAAGATAAACTATACCCACAAACTCCCCATCTTTCCTGAAACGTTGCAATCTGAAACCCTATTGTAGGAAGCAGAAGATTCCAGGAGACATTCTACAAATGAAGGACTCTAAACTCTGTGGTTGGATAAGGAATTCTGGAAGGAAGGTATCCTCACCCAAGGAGAGCAGGTTCCTATACTTGTCTAACATCACATCCCTGTACAATTCCCACTGATCTTGGTCCAGACATTCTCACTCCTCTTGAGAGAAATCCATGGCCATATCCTGGAATGTCAGCAGTCCCTGAAATTAAAGGTACACATGCCATGTGGCCACGGGAAGAGTTCATAATGTGACCCAAGAAGAAAACAGCAAGTTAAGAGAACTGATTTTAATTTAGAAGAGTGTCTTCAATTATCCACTTATATATATATATATATATATTTACAAAGTCACTTTCTCTACCTTATTTCTAACTACAAGAAAAGAGTATGGCATGTGATCCACAAAACCAGTATAGAGACTATACTTATCTGGAAAAGAAATGATAAAATGGGGCTTCCCTGGTGGCTCAGTGGTTGGGAGTCCGCCTGCCGATGCGGGGGACGTGGGTTCGTGCCCTGGTCCGGGAAGATCACACATGCCGCGGAGCAGCTGGGCCCGTGAGCCATGGTCGCTGAGCCTGCGTGTCCGGAGCCTGTGCTCCGCAATGGGAGAGGCCACAACAGTGAGAGGCCAGCGTACTGCAAAAAAAAAAAAAAAAAGGAAGAAATGATAAAAATGATCGTTTCAACACAGGCATATGCATATTTGAGTGTTTTATTTATATCAAACTGGATAAAATGTGTGTATTTCTCAGACAGAAAAGACATGTCGAGGTAGAAATGTACCTTTCAACTATTCATGGGTACACAAGTACACTTGGGAGATTGTAGAAGTAGGTCTGGTGGGCCTGAGTTCTATTTTTTTAACAAGCTCATTTTTAACTAGTGATGCCACAGTCTGATTCATTAACAATTGTGAATAGAAGAGACTTAATTAGAAAGTTAAAAATTCATATTTAACTTTGAACTTAAAGTGTTTTATGGATTTTACACCTTTAATAGAATAGTAAGCGCAGCAGCAACAATCATTTGTGAATATTTACTATAGACCGTGTATCTTTCTAACTTTTTTGTGTAGGATTCCAGGGAAAAGGCCTGGGCTGCGGTCACAGTGGGCGGGGCCCCCAGGCCGGACCGCCCCTCCAGGACCCCCGACGGGACCCTGCGCTCCTGGCGGCTTCCTCCCCCGGCGCCCGCCTCCCTCCCAGAAGGCCTCGGGGCAGAGCTGTCCCACCACCGTGCCCAGAACGGAGCCCGCGTTTCCGCAGAGCTGGAACTCCTGGCTGGGGGTCTCTTCCCTCTGCCGTCACGGAACTGCCCCAGAGCCCGAGGGGAGGGCGGCCTCACTGAGGCTGCCGGCTCTGGAGGGGCCCCGGCGGCCGAAGCCGCTACAGCCGTGGGGACGGCGGGCCGGGTAAGTGGGCGCCGACCCTCCGCCTGGTCTGGTGCCCGGGCGGCAGCGCAAGACCAGCTTCTGAGGGGCAGGGGTTCGCTGCCACCCGCCGCTGCGGTGCAGAAAGGGCGGCCCCCAGCGTCTGGTTCCGGGGACTTCGGTCCCTCCTCTCCCCCCTGCCCTCGGCCTGGCTCGCGGGGCCTGGGGGGCGTGGGGAGGGTGTCGGCCTGAACGTCCGGAGGGGAAACGGGGCAAGGGAGGCGCAGGGTCCAGCTGTAGCGTCAGCGCCCCTCCTCCCGACTGCGGGGAAAGCGGCTGAAAACTCCTCCTGAGGCTCGCAGGCCCCTTATTCAGCCAGTCCCTTTGCTCTTCTTCCTCCCTGAGCTAAAGTACTGGGGGGAGGGGACAGGGCAGGGGACTGGCGCAGGTAATGGGGAACATCAAAAGGTGATTGTTAACTAAGGAAAACCAGCTCTCCCAAGGTGATGAATGTAGGGCTTTTCTTTGTATGGGAAGATGCCAGAGTCTGGGCTCACTGAAATCCTTCCTTTGATATGCACCTCAGCTCTCTGGGGCCTGCATTCTGTATTTGCATATCCTGAGCTCCTCAGGGCTCGCGGCTCACATTGGAGGGCTGCAAGTGCTGATGACTGTGACATCCTTTGTTTACTGAGACGGCAAGAAATGTTCCACTTCTCACAGGCTTGAGGGGCAGACAGTGAAAAAGAGTCGGAGAATCTCACTCGGCATGTACTTTGGTTTACATATAGATAATATTTATACTTAACTGTGCTAATAGAGGTTCTCAAGTCCAATCAACTTGTACTACTGCCCTCTATGTATTAATTTCATCAATATCATAAGATAAATGCCTATAGAATTGACTTAATCCTTGGGCTTCCTTGGTGGTGCAGTAGTTTAGAGTCTGCCTGCCGATGCAGGGGACACAGGTTCATGCCCTGGTCCGGGAAGATCCCACATGCTGCGGACCGGCTGGGCCCCTGAGCCATGGCCGCTGAGCCTGTGCTCTGCAACGGGAAAGGCCACAACAGTGAGAGGCGCGCGTACTGCAAAAAAAAAAAAACAAGAATTAATCCAGTTAAATAGGATAATGATTTTTAAAGGAAACATAGTAGAAATATAACAACAAAACCTTTACCAGTAAAGGCTGGGTCTGGAACAACCTAAATAAATGTTCCATTGTTAAAATATTGAAAGATGTATTGAATAGAAATATCAACAAAAATGACAAATAAGGGCAGCAGAATGTTGAAATGTTCTATCTTTATCATTAAAGTGGCAGAAAACCATTTATTAGGAGGCACTGGGGGCAGAAGATGCCTGATTTTATATCTTTGTCATATTTGTACAGTTGTTTCAACAAGTAACTTAAAGACAAAATGGAAAGACAAGGAGGTTTGTGCCTGAGATCATGTTGATGTGAAACCAGGGATGGCCACCTTGTACCAGGTGAGTTAAGCTTACCTGGCAGGCAGACCACAGAGCTCCTGAGAAGCAAGGGTTGGAATTTTTCTGCTGGGTGCCCCTTAGGTTCTGTGACTTGACTGATTGTGAGTCATGTTTCGGTAAAGACCTGATCACAGGAAAAGGGTGGTAATAGAGTGATTTGGGGAGCAGCTAATGACATTCATCACAGCTCACGGCCTGAATGAATTTTACAGAAACAGGAAAACAAATGCTTCTTATGGAATCAGAGAATGTGAGGGCTGGACAATCCCAGAAAATGAGGAACACCCATCCCATTTTCCAGATGAGAAAACAGAGGCCCAGCAAGGTGAAATCCCTCACCCAACTTGCACCCGTCTCTCCTCCCCATTACATGGTTCATGAAAGAAGGACTCTTCCTGTCTTGATCACTGCTGAACTCCAAACAGGGCCAGGCATCTAGCAGCTGCTCCAAAACTTTTGGTTGACTTGATGAAAAATGCTATTTCTTTCTTTTTCACTCTTATTCAGGACTGTGCCAAGAAATCACCAGGTTGCAATGTAATTCGATAAATGTAAATATTAATTGAGTTTTGTTTTTATGAGGGCTTAGGCTTTGAAGGTAACAGACTTGGTTCAGATCCTGGTTCTGCCACTCAGTAGCTGTTTGGCTTTGGGAAAATTACTAAACCTCTCTGAACTTACTTCCTCCTTTGTAAAAGTGGGGATAAAACTATCTGAGCCAGCAGAGCACCTGCATCACGGATGTGCACTAAGTATTGGTCTTCCTCACTCTCCCACTCCTTCTCTCTGTTCTTCCCAGAGAAGACGTACAGAAGGATATAGTAGTTTTTTTTAAAAAAAAATTAATTAATTAATTTTTGGCTGCGTTGGGTCTTCGTTGCAGCAAGCGGGCTTTCTCTAGTTGCAGCAAGCAGGGGTTACTCTTCGTTGCGGTGCGTGGGCTTCTCATTGTGGTGGATTCTCTTGTCGTGCTTGTTGAGGAGCACCAGCTCTAGGCGCGTGGGCTTCAGTAGTTGTGGCCTGCAGGCTCAGTAGTTGTGGTGCATGGGCTTAGCTGCTCCGCGGCATGTGGGATCTTCCCAGACCAGGGCTCGAGCCCATGTCTCCTGCCTTGGCAGGCAGATTCTTAACCACTGCGCCACCAGGGAAGTCCAATATAGTACCTTTTAAAAAGGGGTTTTAATTTATTTCAGAAAATATACATTTTTCTTGTAGAAAAGTTTATTCCCCTATAGAAACAGAAACACACAAACCACTCCAAAGGCAGTATTCTATGGGTTAGATATTATCAGTCACATTTTATAAGTAATTGGGCAAATGCCAAAGCACTAGCTACTGGGGAGTAAGAGGATTCAAATCTGCGGTGCCCCCACCCCCATTTCAAGAGTAGAGTGTGTTTTTCAAATCCATATTTCATCTGGTCTTTGTTTCTCATCCATCCTCTGTGTCTGCCTTTCTCAAGAAGGCTCAGATCCTCCGCTTTCACACCCTCTCGGCTGGCTGTGCCCCAGCTCCCGCCCTGGAACCTCTGCATGCCTGGGTGTGCCTGCTCTCCCTGTGCACCACCAGCTTTGCCAGGGAGCTGCTGTATCGTGCACCGCTCGCTGTACCCCAGAGTGCCTAGACCGTTCAGGTACATGAAGTATACCCTCATCACCATGTGTGCACGCCCATCCCCTTACCTTATATCCTGCCTCTAAGCCAGGCTTGGGAGTGACTACAGTGTGCATTCAGCTATGTTAGGTGCTGGGATCAACGTGAAGTTCCCGGCTTGAGGGGCACACAGTGATTTAAAGTCGGGCCACCTGACTTAAAGGGGGGCTGATTGATTTAAAGCCAAGACAGCTGACTTAAAGCCTGCATCCCTCAGCTGCAGGACGAGACCAACTTTGGCGATGCATGGGTTCGCTCCAAGCCAGCACTGCTGTTCAGGAAGAGCTACCAGCAGCACCTTAGTCCACGGGCACTTGGTTTATTGTCTTGCCCCTGCCCTCAGAGGGGGGCCACCTGCTCTTCTGGAGGAGAATCAGGAAGGGGGAAATACAGAGTCCCGGCTGCAGTTGCGGCACCCCTTGTCTGATGGCAGGGAAGGGGGGCGGGGCTGTGTGGTGTCCTGGGGCTGGACTCACCAGGTTGACTCAGCCTCTCAGCCTCCTAACCTCCCCCCCCACACACCCCACAAGAGTTTCCAATAATATGTAATTGCGCCTTAGGTTCTCTGTCTTCAAACTCATACCCAGGCTCCCACGTCCCTTGATTCAGCCAATTCCTCTGTGCTCTTTCTTCTATTAGATACGGTCCCAGAGGGAGGGACTGGGGGATGGGACTGGAGGGACCCCGGTGGCACTGGGCTCAGCTGACTAAAGAGCTATGGGGCCTGAGCTATCACACATGTGTGAGGACACTTAAGGCGGAATCGAGGGGCCCAGTTAGAGGCAGTTCTTGCTGCCTCAAGTGATTATGTATCACCGTCGGGTGGGGAGCACGCTGAGCCCTGAGAAGTACTGTTAGGAGGATGTGTTCCTCCCTCGGCTTCAAGGACGTGGGTGGGCTTCAGGGCTCCAGTTCCCCTCCAGGCCTCCAGGTCCGACTGCACCCCAGCGACCTTGCAGACCTGCCTTCCTGTCCCAGAACTTGCCAGGCTCCAGGAAGAATCCAGACTGCAGAGATGGTGCCTGAGCTCTCCAGCTTAAGAAGTGCTGACCCTGAGGACACAACAGTGGAGGGAGGAAGGGTGAAGGGAGTAAGGGGGTGGGGTAGGGAGGGGTGGCTGCCCTGGGAGACTTTGAGAGAGAAATATCGCCCCCCACACCCCCTGCCCCCTGCAGCTGACCCATTGATGCCATAGGATCTCAGGGCCTTTTAGTCAGAGATGCCTCTGCTTCTTTACTCCTGTGTTCAGAACTACGCAAAACCAACTCTTCACCCTCTTGCTGCCTTGCCAGGACTTTTAAAGCACTGTTCTTTTGAAGCACTCGTTCCCTAAACTGCAGTTTGGAGCTGTCCATTTAAAAGTGTTTTCCTTAAACTGAGAGTAAATCCTACTCTTTTGGAAAAACAACCTTCACTTCAGAGGAGATCGTCTTTTCTGCCCATTCCTTCCTTCTACTGCCCTCTCAAGAAGCCCTGTGCACAGAGAGGTTGGTGATTTATTTTTTGCTTCATGTCAAAAAAAAAAAACCTTCCCCATGCACCCCAAAAAGCTTTCCTGGAACATAGGTGATTCAAAACCATGACAGTGTTTTGCAGTTAGTATACACTGGGTAGACTGCCTAGCAATCCCTCCAAGAGCCAGAGGTGAGCAAACCTTTACTTATTTGATTGGATGCCCTTCAAGTTTTGGAAGGTCCTATTCTTATGACCCAGCAGGTAAGACAGAGCCCTGGATGTCTGTGGCTGTGATTTTATAACTTCTGGTGATTTTATTTCCCTTACTGAACTGCTGCTTCTAGGTTAAACTCATTTTATTACCTGTTCATTTTTAGAGAAAGTCGGACAAAGTTACTCTAATAGGTCAGGGGTCTGAGCTGAGGGTTGGTCAAAGGTATTCC